TTTTAAGGATTATAAAGGAACAATATATAAATTTGAAATAATATATATATATATATATATATAAAGGAATAGTTAAAAAGGTTAGGCAAGAAAGTTAAAAAAAAATTCAAACAGGAATGTATTACTATTTGAAATAATTATTTTAGGGGGTAAAAAAATATTTTAAGCCATAAATTTGTTAAATGTATATTTTTTTTGAAGGATTGAAATGAAAGGTTAGAAAAGAAAGTAAAAAATAAAATTAAAAAAAAAAGACAAAAAGAGAAAATAGAGGAACCAAAACTTTGAATAGTGTTTTTGTCTCTTGAGCAATAGTAAAATCATTAATCACATTTCTTACATAGTTATAAATACAATAAAGATAATAACTGTGGCTATAGATTTAGTTTTAACGGTGAATTCACACATGTACTTCTAATATTAAGATCTAACAAAAGAGTAAAAGATACACTTTTGTTAGCTAGCTTCAGACAAAAGAGTAATGTTGATTTTATATCAACGTTCGACCAAGGCACATTGTTTTAATCTTCTTAGAATAACCTTTGGTTTTAATACGAAGGTACAATATTACTACTTTCTAGTTTCTTCTGTATACTATTTTGTTGATGACATTATCATTGCATGGCGATGACGAGAATATGGTCCAAAGATTCGTACAACTAGTGCCTCAAAGATTTTCTATTAAGGATCTTGGACCAATCAATTATTTCCTCAGTCTGAAAGTTCAAACCCTAGGTACATTCTGGATTTACTTTCTCGCACCAAGATGACAAACTTCAAACCCTACCTAATGCACCCCCAACAGTTCCCCTGCACCACCTTGGCACCTTCTCCACTCCCGACGATTGCCACCCCTCTGCCCATGCGCCCTTTCTTCTCTCACTTGACGATTGTCTGTGCACTTATGTTGTAACGATTTGACTTCTCAAATTGTTATTTGACATGCTTAAACTTGATTTCTTAATTCTAAAACATTTTCTTATGTGCTAAAAATTCAGAGAATAGTTTTTGTTTGCTAATATTACTCAAACTTTAAAATTATAAATTCAATATAAAATATCAGTGTCACGCCCCCCAAACGGGGTGGGTGACGTGGAGCTCGATTAGGGATTAATAAAGCAGATTCCCAGACCGGACCCCACACTTAACTGCATTAAAATATAAATGAATTACAGAATCCCGGAGCCTCTAACACACAGGGCTCCACCCCACAGGACATACAATATCGTACATACATGCTCATGTAATTAATCATTACAACAGATATCAACCACAGTCTAGTAAATCCAATATTAAATAGGTTTACATAATCTCTCAAATTCCTTACATTTGTTCAAGAGGATAAACTCAATCCTCACTTGATCCAACAGTAGCAACTCCAGCTACCCTGCACCGCTCCTCGAGTCTCCTGGGAGGGGTTTAACATTTAAAACATAAAACGTGAGCGAAAGGACCAGTAGGATATAATTTGAAATATTTAGAATAAATGAGCGCATGAATAAATAATTGAATACATAAATAAAATAAGACATTCAACCCCGACAGAA